AAACGGAAACACTACCCGCCAATGAAACTCCAATAGACACAAACTAAAAATGCTTCATATTGCATTGGTTGTCGTGCGGGATGTTCATGATCATGCTGCCCATTGCATTCAGCGGGCTAGATAGTGATAACCAGGCTACTGCTCAGACATCCCAACATTTGTTTAACTCTGTCTTTTATACCCAACCATTGGAAGCTTACCCAGGTGGTCATAGTGCTCTGTCCTACCGTTCCAGCGAACACATAACGAAGACCGACTTATACAGTTCTGCGCAGAGCACCATCTGCTCCTGTCCANACTCTCGATGGACAGGAAAGTGGTGCTCCAATTCAATTGGTGCGCTAACTCAAATTGACCACAGTAGTTATCTGCCGTTGGCGTGCGTCAACACGAAAGTACAGGTCCCAGTGGAGCAGATACGTTGAATCTGATCAGACATTAGTTTTGATGGAGTTCACTTTCTGACTCACTAGTCGTAGAATAACCCACTAAGGTCGGTTGGAAGATCATCGCTTTTCTGACCCAGCCGTTCGTGCCCGCTTTGAATCATGATTGCAAAGTTAGTTAGTATAGTCAGCTCGTATTACACCCAAATCAAAGCCCTTATCCGTGCCTACGGCGAAGAGTCTCAGCCCTTCGATCTGATGTAAAATGCCCGCTATAGCCAGTGTTGTTCAACTTCACTGTTGATTGGAATATGCGTTGGGTAATGGAGGGTTACCAAGGCGTCCAAGTTTCCGCGGACTGCTGACTTAGTGACCTCGAATACGCCAATAACGTGGCAGTGCTTGGACAGCGTTGCAAACAGCTCTCAACCGTATCAAAAGGTTTGTATCTAAGATCGGACTTGCAATTAATCCTAATTAATCCTGTTCCACCTGATGCAGCGGAACATACTCTGCAACTGGGTGATCGGACAATAAAAACTGTATCGGAGATCAGGTAGCTTGGGTCCACCATCCTTCTCAATGAACTTTCCAAAGACGATATAAATCGGCGCATCGACATGGCCCGAACGGCGTTTCTGCAGCTCCGAACCACCCTATGGCGCCGGAACGAAAACAGTTTAAAAACCATGCTCAGGGTGTTTGCCACAGTAGTCCGACCAGTCCTACGATACTGCTATGAAATCTGGCCGCTGAGAGCTTGGGACTGCACACGATTGGAGGTCTTCGGTCACTGGTGTCTTAGATTCATTCTGAAAGTAAACTGGCGGGACAGAGTCTCAAACTCGGCCCTCAGGAATCGCTGCCACGGTGACCGTCTTTCAACGCCGCCTAATACAATGGTTGGGCCATGTTCTCCGCACACTTGACGACACGTTTACAAGTATTGTCTTTGCACTGTCACCCTGTCCTGGCTGGCGCCGCCGACAAGGGGAGAGGGTAAATAAAACCCTGGCTGGACACTGTATTCGAAGACGTCGACCAATTTGGCCTTCGGATGGTGTAGGGCACTCGCCGATAGAAAACCAACTGGATCGACATTTGCAAAGTTCTTGCACTCAAGCATGAGCGGCGGCAATCAGTTCAGTTCTTACAACCACTAACCATGTACTTTCGTGCTCCGGTTTTCGTTGCCCATTTGGATAAAACAGCAGAATGATGATTAGAACGTTGAATGCAGATTCAAGCAGAAAATAACGCATTTACATAGTCTGAAGTTACAGGAATGATGAATAGATGTATGAACACCACAGTTTGCGACACCCAGCCATATCGCTCAGTGCTTCTAATCATCAGTGACCATCATCTCGGGTTCCCTAGCTAGAGAGCCTAAGGGGACCTATGTGAGCCAGTCTCCTGGTCAGGATTTTCATACCTTCATGCCAGGTCTTAGTTTGACCGCCCTTGATCTTTTCCCAACCGCTATCTGCCTCAGCAAACATTGCTAGCCGTGGCAACCTATCTGGTGACCTGCGCAGCACGTCCCAACTAGCGTAATCTATGGAGATCGACTACCTGCTTCAGTGGACGACCTCGGTTACCTAAAATTCGACGCCTAGCCTCAGCAGTGCTCGTCCGGTTTCCCCTCTAGACTCGTGCAATGTGATGTAGACAGCGGTGTTCGAACACCGACAATCTATTTTTATCCTGTTCCCGTAATGGCCAAGTCTGTGCACCATAAACCAATACTGGCCGAACTGCTGCAGCGTATACTTGACCCTTCACAGACAGTCGGATGTCGCGACGGCGCCACAGATGTCTCATGTTTGCAAATGCCAATTGTGCGTTTTGTATGAGCGCCGACACTTCATCTGTGATGCGTCCGCCAGGTGAGATATAACTGCCCAGATAGCAAAATTTGTATACTTCCTCGGTCTGGGTGAAGTTGCGTACTGGACCAACCCAATCTTGGAGCAACATTTTACACTTAATCAGAGACATTCGTGAAGCAGACTTATCCTCTCTAAGGAGCCAGCCGTAGTAAATTAAAGTAAAGTAAGTAGGAACTGGAGCAAGAGCTAAACTCCATGTAGCATGGTAGTGTCACTGAACAGTGGAATCAGGTTAGGCGAGTAATCCGCTCCGCGGCGAGGTTTGCTTGTGTATCTGTTTCGATACCCGCCAGGGGCATTGGATATCTGATGGGTCAGTAGTACTGATGGAGAAAAAGCGCCAAATCCCAACCGCCCGGGATCAGAGCAGGGGTGGGTGGCGCCTGCAACGTCAGCGCACGAAGAGACTCAAGAAAAACAGTAAACGATGGCGGGTAATAACAATTAGTGACATGAAAGTAGCAGCTGCGTCAGGAAATAGTCAAAGAATGTTCCTACTGATACGCAACACGGGAGGTCGGCGAACCACAGTTAGTGAAACAACCTGCGATAAAAGTTTACATTAGGTAGTTCACATTAGTTAACAATGACTTGACCGATGGACGGAATACTTCAACGAACAGTTCAGTTGGCCAGGCGCTAACCAGATTATCTTATCTGTTGTAGTTGAGGCTCTGTGAGCAGCGTCATGTGAACCTCCTACTGAAGCAGCAGTACCATCTTGCATCCAACCCTGAAGAAAAGAAAACCGGATGGGCTTCCTCCCAATCTTTTCAAGTTAGGGGCGATGAACTCGTAGATTCCGTTATTGATTTAATGCGTGACATCTGGTCACAAGAGCGCATTCCATTATCTTGGAGCGAACCGCTGGTTGTTCCAATTTTTAAGAAGGGATCTCAAAAGGACTGCGCAAACCACTGTGGAATAAGTTTGGTCCCGATCGTCACAAAGTTTTCAGCTTCAGCGTCTGACACCCCTCCAGGAGACAAATATCCCGCCTACCCCACCCTGCAGTGATTACGCTCCTTACTCCTATGTCCATCCGGTTCGAATTAGTGACCTTTGACCTTCGTATTGATTGGTTTCTCTTCCCCGTGTTTTGTTCACTTGTCCCCAAACCTGTCGCTCTTTTAACCAAACGTGATCTGAATGTATGTACATAGCTACTACGAAATAGTTGAATTCAACGCATCCTGTGTTCATGAATTTTAAAATTCCGTTTTTATCGGTTTAGCCTTATTCAATACTTAGGAAGGAAACTACTATATATGTTATAAATGCATACAATAATTTATAATGATATGCCTAACTTAACTGTGTGCGGCTCTCGTGATAAATATGACCATTTGACCCTCAGAAAACCCTCAGCGTGGGCTGAAAAAAAAAACGGATAAACCTGTTCTATTTATTATTTGCACCCCAACGATAGCAAAGTTTTATTGACAATAGTTTTGTGATCCGAAGGAGTGCACGAAACAAAACCACCTCGCAAAGAGGGTTTTTGCCGCTGTGGTTGACTAACAACTTCTGCCTATTTTGTGCTGAATTTCTAGTTCATAATTCATGAAGACCCAAGGGACCAGTGGTATTTCAACCAATCCCCTTTTGATACAATCTGGACAACCAATACAACAAGCCAATGCCATATCGGCCATGCAACCAGCTGGGACTGCTATTCCACACCACAACGTTCAGGTTTGGACTTCATCCCCTTCAGGACCCATTGGAGTTCCGGGTCTCGTTCCTCCTAGGGGCAACGCTAATCTGGTAACTCTTCCGCCAGGTCAAACGGTCCTTATGACGAACCTTGTCACTACAACCAACAATCCCACAATGTCGATACCAGTCTCTTCACCAATGACAAGGCCTCAGGTGCATGGATCACAGATGGTGCACACAGGTGGCACGGTTGTTCTTACTAGTACGGCTTCTACAATTGGAGATTCTATATCGTCGCAGTTGCCCACTTCCACCGTCATTCAGGGCCCCAATGGTCCGATCTCCGTGGCCCTCCCGGGAGGCCTCCTTCCAAACGCTTCTGTGGGTTCCTTAACGGCAGCACCGACTGCATTCGTATCGACCAATCCCGGGGCACTGAATCCCGATTCGACCACACAAATACCACAGTATATTGATACATCAAGGACGGGACACTCCCAGTTTTCCACAAATTCGGGTTTTCCAAACATGGTTCCAAGTGGACCTCTAGTGTTAGATCCAAATGCTGTAGGTCTTTCCGGCACGAATGCACAACCAAAAGTTGTGGGAATGACCACAGTTCGGTCCCAGACGTTTGTTCCACCCGTCTCACAACAACAAGTAACACGTCCATTTTTCCCCGCCACCGCTCCTCCAGAGAATAATGACTCAACACTCACATTTGCTTCGACGGACTCCTCCCAGTCTGATACTAACCAGACTTCCTCAATAATAACAGTCTCTTCCACCGAAGGATCTAATTTGACGCCAAATTCTCCCGTTACGACTTCGGCCGTTTCAACTGTCGTTTCCACAGTCAATTCTAATTCGCCAGCCATTTCTTCGCTAAGTTCTGCCCCAATCCATACAATCCGATCTTCGCCCGTTCCTCCTCCAGTAAGTAGTCCTTCAAATCCTGCTATTTCGAACCGTGACGCATCCCCTAGTTCATTAAACACTAGAGAATCTTCATCGGAACATCAACTAGCTGTTTTCACACCAGCATCTCTGGGGCAACTTATGGCCGATCTTGATCATCAACTACAGTTGGATCCCGATGCTCAAGAGGTAAGACCTGTTCATTCATTATTGAGAAGCAGTATGGTAAAATTTTATCGATTGATTTTCTTCATATACCTGACTAAAGAACGACAAAAAGAGGCTAGGAAGACTCGCTTTTACGTTATGGGAACCGAGAACCCAGGCACTAGGACTTGAATGTTAATTTACACGAAAATGACTTAGCATGGGCGTAATTCTAATCAGTGTGACAGTAAAGTAGTCTACCTAATATCGAAATTGGGTAATTGTGACATGATTCGAACGTCGAACCTTTTAAACTGACAACCAAGTGAGTTTGAAATTCACCTCATTCCCCCTCGAATCCCACGCGGAGAATTAGTATCTGATTTAGTTTTTCCAACAATTCTAGGATATTTCATAAATGCCTCCTTTCAGTTCACTCCTCCTTCACTTTAGTCTGAAACCCTGCGTTTTAATACAGCCACCTTCATATCAGTGCCCCTGGCATATTTTCCCAAAGTTGTTTATGTGTATATTCAACATGACTGGATGAAACTTCGATTCCCTTCGTTCAATCAACAATTTCTCACTACATTACTCTCCTCAAATAACCATGTCCCTCCACTTATTGATTTTATCTTGAAGAGCAGTTAGAATACCATAAAGTATATATACCCTTTTGTGATATTTTGCTGTCTATGGTAGGAAATGACCGATACTGTACACAGCAAAATCGATCGCTATATAAAAATTATATTTCACCTCTGCAACCAGAAGCAGTTCTTTCGGGCTTTAGCTTCACCATGACTTCGGTTGAAGACCCAATAATACACTCCCGGGGGATGCATCGATGGCCTAGCTGAAATGAGTATCATGTACACAAACGTTGCCAAACACTACATAATTTGATGCGAGCAAAATCAGATCAAACAATGCAAATTACAATTATAACGGCCAGTTGATGAGTTTATAAAAACAGCTTGTTTCCCCTACTGGGCCTTGTTTTCAAAGTTGCTTTTCTATGAACGGTTTTACCCCGGATTCAGGATTTTCGCTGCAAAGTAAACCGTTACTTAATCAGCATTTCTTAAAAGCCTGCAAACGGCTTTTGTCTAGGTATTTCGGCCAAGCCTGTTAGTAAAGAAAGCAGCATTTCATTACTCTTCTGTCCCCACCAACAATATACACGGCACGCAACGACTACAGCAGCCATGCATATGAGTAAGGAACGTGTGGAGCGCAGTGGCGGCGTTAGCAACCCCTATTTCGGCCACCCGAAATGCCACATTGCTTGTCAAAGGCAACGCACCTTAATTCATGTTCCTCGGGGTTCCCTCCCCTGCAAAACCATCAAATGGCATAATATACAACACTCTTTGAAAGGCCGGTTTGATTTCCAGCTTTCTGCTAATTTTATCCTGCCTGACTCTGGAATCCAACCATTCACAGAAGGCCATATAGCAGGCCACGTTTTAATTTCATTTTCCACCGGTATGACGCGCTAAGTTCTGTTATCACTAACCATACTTAAGGCACCTATATCCAGTTGAACACCAATCGTCATCTAACTGTTTTCTCTGGAAGCGTCCCCTACTCACGTTTGTTATTCTGTTTATAACTCGAATTTGCTTTGGTGGTTGAGTGGTTAATGTCACCCAATTATCACTCCGGAGGACGTGGGTTTGAATCTCACCATCCACCGCTTTCCCACTCTCTGTGTTGTATGACAGTCCTCTGATTAGCCGCTTCCCTCCTCTTGAGAATCGTATCGCTTACTCAATAAAATGAAGTAAAAGAAAAAATATGTAATTTTCTCATCAACGTTGGAAGCAAGTAATATTTGCCACTTCCATCAGATCTCAATTGCTATCACCTCTTAAAACCAATCATGGCTTTTCAACTCTGCCAATATCCAAAGCAAAAAAAGTGGTATGGTGACTTTCAGTATGATTCTTGGTCTCACCAATGTAAACGACTTTCTGACGTTCGTTTCGTATACATAGTCAACATCATTCGGCNGTCAACATCATTCGGCAACCATAAAGAAATCCACATAGTGTCGTCGCACACGTCAAACGCTTTCCACATCATCTGGTTCGCAAATCCGCAGGCCATGAACATTCAGTTTTACCAATGAACTTGTGTCTGAGAAATCAAGCTCTTTTAAGGGCTCTACTGTTACTGTTCGTGTGGACGATATCATGTTTTGGTCATTCCGTGTGAGTGCTGCTGTCCCTAAAGATCTCATACTTTCTCTTTTTATTACATGACCCCATGGTCCCGAAAACCTACTGTTCAGTTATGGAGACCGGAGTTACAAACGGCACAGGGTCCCAACAGATTCATGCTACCTATTAGGACTAAGCTTATATTCACTTTGATGATCACTACGTTTACTTGCATGCATCAAATATTTTTCCCGTGGCACTTCTTGTATTCTACACACCACGTTTCCCGTTGAAGAACGTCATTACTGTTACAATTACAGGATGATTATGCATCCACATCTCTCACTCTTCTTGAATGGGTTCAAAAACCACCATTCGTCTTTCCAGTGACATTACTCTAACTTGCAATATCCCCTAATAATTGCATTTCTATCCTACCGCTACTGTCGGTTTTCCTCTCAGTGGAATGTTCCTGCCATCCCCGTACCATCTCTTCCCCCGTTAATCATGTAAGTAAATGATTATCATCTTTTAGCCTTGTCACATTGTCCAAATTCAGCACAAACTAATTGGAACAGTGTTCATATCAAAAGGTGGCTTTCCGGGGCACGTGTTTTGCATGGGAAGCATGGATTCAGGGTGGATTTAAGGCTTTGTTGCTGCTTGTTTAACGCATTTGGAAACTTAAACCATGTTTCTAACTCAAAACCCCATCGAAAGCGGGCTTGATAAGCGCTATTGCACGGCAGTTGTGTCACAATTTGATTTAAGACACTTTCACTGATAAAAGCTAGCAGGTTGCATCTGTGGGCTTTGGTATCCATGCTTTCCTTGATACATCGTGCTAACTATCACATTCTTCAAAACTGTTAACTTACTAAAAGTCCCATGTGATTGGGTTGGAAACTGACTGTGGATGGAAGGTACATTCGCCGTGATTCACACGCACTGACACTGGCTGTTCCCTTGCTAATGGATGCGTTGTCAAAACTAAATACAGGTCGAATGCTTGGCTTTTGTTTACTCTGGGGTTCAGATCATTTGACGAGAAAATCGTTGAATGGATGCTTGGTCATCCCTTCTTAGATAGGTTTCAAACTTCAATATCAAAGTCGCTGAAGACCGAGCGAAAATATTGTGACGTGTTTCGCTGTGTGTATTAGGTCATCTCTCCTTTGAAAGTATTCATTAATTCACCGTCCATCTTATTACTTGTTTATCTTGGTTACAAAAACAAAGTGCAATCATGAATTGTTGACAACTGACTTCCGCATTTTACGATCTTAGACGTTAAATTAGCTGAAAGCTTGTGAATTTGCAAAACCGAGTCAATTAATTTAGCAAAGTTCTGTCGGTAAGCTGAAAAGTTGTTTTATTATTTTAGTTGTGATCAAATCAAATGTTATTCCATAAAATTAGGTGCAGAATGAACGTAGTATTTTTTCACAATTAATGATCCAATTTTGTGATTCTATTACGATGCTGCCTGTATTGGTTTCAATACGAAAGATCAGTCAACAAGCATGTTCCTTTCCTTGTGGTTTTGAAGTAATGTCTCTTCGTTGAGGCAGTTGTATTAGCAACATGTTTCAGGCCCCTCACTCCCTTCGGGGGTAGAAATGCGTCAAATCATCAGTATCCAAACATCAACATTGTATTTCTTCTGTTCCCGTATTGCACCATCAAAACACGTTCCTCAGCAAACTCCATTCCGATCAGCGCACGGTTCCGATTTGTTTGTGCCGCGTTTGGCTTAGGTACGATGCATGAAGGCTAAAGGAAAATCGGAAAACATGGGAGCATTGGTGACAAGTAATTATTGTCATGTAGCGCACTTCTAATTTCCCTCTTCCAGGACCTTCAAAAACCATACAACATACCGCCTTTCTGTTCTCCCTTCAGCATACAATATCACAGACTTCGAATTCGAAGTTGTCAGATTGGCTTTGGCCTAAATGTACGCTTCAGTGTCCCGTTTACACTATCTTCGGTCTTATGGGATTCTCAAGCCACGGCATTGCATGTACACCAGTCCGAAAGGATTCAAACTCTGTTAAAATAGTTCTTACTGCGACGCGCGAACCATCAAGCTTTCTAAATTGATCCCGGTCGGTTTTCTCGAAAACGGTTTCATATAAAGAGACAACCAAAAGCAGCGGTTGTTTCCGACGTTCTGTTGCCTGAACGATTTCAAACTCTAATCGTGGCGGGAGAAATGAAGAGAAAATTACCGCATTAGTTACACTTGGATTTTTGCTGATTCGTCAAGAACAACTTCTTTCCTGTCGAACGCAACGACATCAAATCAAATTCGGGCTTTTAGATATCTCATAATTGAAGTTTAGGATAAATTATTCGCATCTGCTTTCTATCGTTCTGTTCACAAACTCCATATCTGATGGAGATTGGTTGGGATCGCTCAAAATCTTACAGATGATTATTCCACCAGCTATAGAGTGCATCTTCTGATAATCGGCGCACCATAGGGGATAAAATGTACTTTGCAGTATATTGGTTAATCACGCCTCATTATCTTGAAATTCTTATCCATCGAAAATGAAATAAGGTCAACCATACTAGTCGGTTTTGAGATCACTGCTCGACACTGAACTGCTTGACAGTACGCATCTAGATAGTGTGGTTTAATTACACAGTATTGAAGATATTCGATGACAGTGAATTATTGTACATGCACTACATTTTTACCCCGGGAATTAAGCCATAGACAAGGAATTCGTACAACTGAATTTAATGTGTATAAAGATCATCTCGTGCAAAAAGGTTTTGAACATCTTACATATTTTCCCCCTAATAACATTTTGATATAGATAATGAGAAATCAACGCAAACAAGCTCGTCCGCTACTGTATTTTTCTCGCATATTTGTGGACACGATTACAAAAGCTGCTTGCTAGACAATGAAAGTCGCCCTGGGCTTTCGGTGGAATTTCAGTATTTGCAACAAGGTATCCTTTAGAAAAAAGTACTCGCAAAACGATAGGTATTTGAAAGCAACATTACATTACAAACAATAACTTAATACTAACATGAAGGATTGTTCTTCCCATATGAAGAAAGCAGCGTTCGATTAACCGAAGTGCGGTAATGTCACTGATCTCTTATTCGCATAATGCAAGCAGACACCAATCAGAAACAGTACTTTATTTCGCACGTCATAAAGCACATATCCCTTTTGTTTCTTGTTTTCACTCAAGAAATTTGCACCTCTGCGCATCTCGTTTTTATTTCAGGTTTTGGTGAATCTTGCGAATGAATTCGTGACCTCTGTGGCGGAGAAGGCTCAAAAACTCGCAAACCATAGAAACTCGTCTGTCATTGATGCTAAGGATGTACATTATTGTTTGGGTGAGGAAGATGAAGTGGATTAGATTATTTTCTGCTTTCGAGTTTCTCTATTCCGTTTTCTTATCATTCACTTTGTCGATCAATGCGTGCTTTGCGGAGTTCACTCCTTCCCATTTCAGGATTCCCAAGCGCTCACGTGCGTGAAATGGCTATTTTGTGCCAGCCGGATTATCTCGCGGCGTCCGCTTGCCAGAACATTCTCTTAAGACACCTAGCGGAAGGCGACTGTTGCATCTGCACCTCGTCGCCATACGCGATGACAAACTGCTGCTTCATCCATTCCGCCCATTGCCATCAAACTTTTCGTCTAACCGTGCCAAGAGTTTCGATCTCCTCATCAATTACAAGTAAACCTTATATACCACCTAAAGCAGTACACGTTTACAGACCTCGATACGCAGTTCAGCATTTTGATAAATTGTCTACAGTTAAAAGCTGTGGTCACACACTATTGGGGACAATTCCTCAATCACGAGGATCAAATATTTTAGCATCCGATGGTCGATTACTCAAGCTGTCCATTACGCTTCCTCTGACTGTCGTTTACCTTTAACCTTGGTGGCGATGGTCAAGGCCACCATCTCAATGTGTCTGAACTTTACCACTGGACCCCATAGTCAAGAAGGCCTGTTCAGTGATGAAAACCGGTATCATAAACCCCGGAACTTGTAGTGGTAAATCACATAAAGCCCCGCTAGTTTAGACGTGGCATTGATTCGGACAATAGTAAAGCTGTGCACCGCCAAATTGAGCGGGGAGGGGGACAGTGGCCCGACTCGAACCTTGGACCATAGGACCCGAACCACGCCGGTGACGAGAAAAACTGCACCAACATCCGATGTCAAGCATATACCCATTCTTGATCGAAATAAACACTGTTCGGTTATTCACGGTTATCTATATACCGTTTGGGACATTAGGAGTTGGTGTCACTTTGTTTGGGAGAAAAATTTTCAGAACTTCTCCCGTGGTACCCTCCTTTCTGGAATTCTGAAGAGATTGCTTCAAAACATTCATGAATCGTTTGGCATGAACGTGAAGGTGCTCAACGTTTACGGAATGCGGAGAAAAATTATTACGGATTGGCCGCCAGGGTCACACACCGCCTCTGGTAGTATGCCCACGTTTTCACAAACACTGCTCAGAGGCACAGCGAATAGATGAATTTTCTCAATCCAAATTCAAATTAGGCCCGTTAACAAGGTAACACGTTCTTCGAATTGCATGTCACCGAAAGGAATGCCACAGTGGAGCTCAATTGTGATACATGGTAATCGGCTGGTACGTTTAGTGCCCTCCTGTTGATCGGATTTAATGGGGATATTCGATGAATGAGGCTTACTACACAAGTCTAGGGTAATTTAGGTATACGAGAACAGCACAGCGACGCAACAATCAGGTTGTGCCCCTTACATTTCGTTCTGCGGTCACTCAATCCGGACAGCCGACCTGACGGGTTCTTTGTGCTCCTTCGAAGCACCTTTCA